AGATGAGGTAAAAGCTGCACTGAAGGAATTGATGAAAAACAAGGGTCCGGGAATTGATGAAAGACTCAATGAGATGCATCAACAATGGATGCAACACTGGAGGTACCTACTCAATTATATTAAGAAATTTGGGAGACAGCTATTATCTGGTCAGCTGAGTGGAAGAGATTCATATTTATGTCCATTCCATAGAAGGGTGATCCAACATAATGCCAAAATTATCAGCCTGTATCTTTAACATCACACACAAGTAATATTTTGCTGAAGATAATTTAAAAACAGTTGTAGTAGTATATTGACAGGGAATGTCCAGAATTTCAAGTCGGATTCAGAAGAGGACATGAAACAAAGGATATCATTGCTGATGCCAGATGGATCTTGGCTGAAAACAAAGAATAATTTCTGAAAACAGAAAGTTGTTTACCTGTGTTATATTCACTATGCATAGGCATGTGACTGCATGGATCATAACAGATTATGGATAACATTGTGAAGAGTGGGAATTCCAGAACCTGTACATAGACCAAGAGGGTGACATTCAAACAGAACAAGGGGACACTACATGGTTTAAAATCAAGAAGGGAGTGCATCAGGGTTGTATCCTTTTGCCATACTTATTCAATCTGTATGCTGAGCAAAAAATCCCAGAAGCTAGACTCTCTGAAGAAAAGCACAACATCAGGATTTAAGGAAGACTCATTAATGACCTAAGATACGCAGATAGCACAACCTTGCTTGCTGTAAGCGACAATGACTTGAAGCACTTACTGATAAAGGTCAGAAGCTATAGTCTTCAGTATGGATTACACCTCAACATAAAAGAGAAATCCTTAAAACTGGACCAGTAAACATCACAAAGAAAAGATTGAAGTCAGGGATTTCATTTTACTTGCATCCACATCTACACATGGAAGCAGCAATCAGGATATCAGATGATGTATTACATTGTGCAAATTTGCTGCAAAAGACCTAAGGTGTTAAGAAGCAAAGGGTCACTTCGAAGACTAAGATGCACCTGACCCAAGCCATAGCATTTTCAGTCACCTCATACACATGTGAAAGCTGGACAATGAATAAGGAAGAATGAAGAAGAGATGCATTTGTATTGTGGTGTTGATGAGGAATACTGAAAATACCATGGACTGTGTGATAGTTGAAGCTGTGTGTCAACTTGGCTGGACCACAATTCTGTGGTTTAAGCTGTTGTGATGTGGTTATTCCATGATGGAATCACATGATTATGTTTTGAGCAGGCAATCTGGTGAAAGGGAGTTTCCCTGGGGGTGTGGCCTGCTTCCAGTATATCCAAGGACATCCTGGGAAAAGACACATTATTCTGTGGATCAGGATTCTGTTGTGCCTGCCTACAACTGTCCATCCGTGAGTGAACAGTCCACCATTCGGACTGGAAATCTTGGATTCGTTACTCATTGGCATCAACCGGTGTTCTGCCTGCCAGCCTCGAACTCCTCAGCCCCTGCGGTTGCAAGAGTCAGGAAAAGCCTCCAGCTTGACATTTGATCCAGGAACTTGGGACTTGCCAGCTTCTAGAAGTGTGTGAGCCATTTTCCTAAGATAAATTTCTCTCTATATATACATATATATATATAAGCTTTACTGGTTTTTGTTTCTCTAGAGAATCCAGTCTAACACAGACTGCCAGAAGAATGAACAATCTGCCTTGGAATAAGTACAGCCAGCATGCTCGTTAGATGCCAGATTTCATCTCAAATGTTGTTGTGTTGTTGTTATGTGCCATGGAGTCAGACCCAACTCATAGCGACCCCTCCTTGGGTTTCTGAGGCAGTATCACTACAGAAGTAGATTGCCCCATCTTCCTTCTGAGGAGTGGCTGGTGAGTTTGAACCTCCAGCCTTCGGGTTAGCAGTCAAGTGCCTTAGGCACTATGCTACCAGAGCTCCTATACTTTGGTTATATTGTCAGAAGGGACCGGTCCCTGGAGAAGGACATCATTCTTGGTAAAGTAGAGGGTCAGTGAAAAAGGGGAAGACCCTCAGCGAAACAGATTGACACAGCTGCTACACTGATAGGCTCAAGCATAGCAAATATTGTGAGAATGGAGCAGGACTGGGCAGTGTTTCATTATATTGTGCACAGGGTTCCTGTGAGTTGGTGCCAACTCAATGGCACCTAACAACAGCAGTCTTCTCTGAAATTGGAAATGTATAATCACCCTTCTGTGTGTGGTATGGGTTGGGACCTTGGTGTCTACAGTTCTTCAGGTTTTTTTATTTAACTTTAGCTTGCAGAATGCCCTGTGCAGCCCACTGTTAGAAATGCCTCATGCCTCTACTTGTACTTTTATGGGCACCTGCAACATAATTTAGTACTGTAGAATTTACCCACTTAGGCTCAGAATTCAGCTTTCTGTGGTTAACAGAGACATTTATCACTCCCCATTGGCTTTCCAGCTTCCAAGTTTTATTACTACTGTCTTCTCTCAAGAGTTCTTTTATCCCAGTAGGGTTTTTCCTTCACTTTATCATTTATGTAATTTTACTGTGAATTTGTGAAAGAGCAGTGGAAAATTTATATGCTCAATCTGCCACTTTTAGCAGAAACTAAGTCTTTTTTAAAAAAATGTTTTTCAGAAAGTTATTTTTGAGGAAAGTATGTCTAGAAATTCATTTGGTGCCTCGTGATTCAACAAATATGTATTGAGCTTCTGATATGTTTCAGGCATTTGCCAAGCTCTGAGTATGCATTGGTGAAGAGAAAAGACATCCATGTCTTAATTGGATATGTGCAGATATATATAACATTACAAATAATAAGCACTGTTAAGGAGAAAGCAGAGTATTGTACTCTATGGTCTAATAACAAGAAAAACATACTTTAGACTAAAGATCAGGTGTGACCTCCCTAGAGATACACTCTTCAAGCAGGGGCCTAAGTGATATATTAAGAGGGCCAGTGGTGTATGTGTATAAGGGGTTTATTCCAGGTTTAGAGAAGATCCCTGTGAAGGCCTCTGAGGGAGGAGAGAACTTGGTTTATTTGAAGGACTGGGGCTCCCTGAGCAAGTGGAAGTGAGGCAAGTTTGGAGATGCAGGCAAAAACCTTTATCCACATCATTGGGGTCTCTTTTTTCAGTAATTACCAAGGAATTTGGATTTTAGGTAGGCCAAATACCACACCAGGTACTGAATGGATTAGATGGCACTGGTCCATAATGGGGAGACTGTTAGAGAACTCCTGTAGGGAGCAGTAGTGATTCAGTGGTAGAATTATTGCCTTTCATGTGGGAGACATGGGTTCATTTCCTAGCCTGTGAACTTCTTTGCACTTCTGTGCAGCCCTACTTACCTGTGTAACTGCTATTTTGCTGAATAGGTTTCATTGGAGCTTCCTGACTAAGATGGACTAGGAAGAAAGGCCTAGTGATCTACTTCTGAAAATCAGCCACTGAAAACCCTGGGGATTACAGGGTCTGGGGTCACCAGGAGTCAGGACTAATTGAACAGCAGTTAACAAAACAACTGTAGTTATCTAGGGAAGAGGTGATTTTCATCTGGAGTACAATAATTAGATAAAGACATTTTCAAGAGATTTTTTAGGAGCTTACGTAAATAAAAACTTGTTCAGTGATCATACAGGGATAGGAGGAAAAGGGTCATATTTTTGGCTTGATTCTTTAAGGCATTTCATTTGTCCAGTATCCTTATTTTAGCTGTCACATTTTTCCATAATAATGGCTATCAAATATTGAGCACTTTATGCCAAGTTACTTTCTCGTTATTCTTCATCCTCCCAGCAATCATGAGTTAAGTATCGTCCCCAGTTAACACATGAGGAAGTGAGAGAGCTTAGAGACATTAAGTAACTGCCTAAAAACATAAAACTGGGGCTGGCTTCTCATATGTCTACATAGAGTTCCTCTCGTTACAGAGTACATTTCATCCCGTCTTACTCTTGTCTGTCTCAAACTTGAGCTGCTTCCTTTCACTGTCATGACACTCTAGCTGCCAAAGTCATTATCACAGAATTCCAAGGCAAACTATTTTCAGTGAATTCTCAACATATACTTTATCCATAGAAGAATGTATACCATTCTTATTAGTTTCATCCATCACTTTAGACTTGCTTCAGCCTCTCCCTCCCTGCTATGTGAATTTGCCAGCATTACAACTATTTTACAGAGCCTCCCTTTTCATTTATATCTTCTAATACATTTGTTCCTCTTAATAGTCTTTTGATGTATGCCAGATAATTATCAACAAATTGCAAAACATACAGCATAATGTTCTGTGTGTGTGAGTGTATTGTTCTTGGGTACCACTGAGATATTTTCTATTCATAGTGACTCCATGTGACAGAGTAGAACTGCCCCATTGGATTTTCTAGGCTATAATCTTTACAGAAGGAGCTCTGGGGTTGTAGTGCCTAAGGCATTTGACTGCTAACCAGAAGGTTGGTGGTTCAAACCCACCAGGTACTCTGTGGAAGGAAGACTGGGCAGTCAACTTCTGTGAAGATTTATCACCTTGGAAATCCAAAAGAGATCACTGTGAGTCAGAATCGCCTCAATGGCAGTAAGGTGTTTTTTTTTTTTTTCCAATATTTACAGAAGCAAATCACCAGGTTTTTTATCCTATGGTTCAAACTGTCAGCCTTTCAGTTAGCAGTCAAGCACTTAACCTGTGTGTGTGTGGGTGCTTATATACATGTATATATGATTAGAATCACTGTATATGGAGGATGGCCCTGAGCCGTGTGTATTCACCAACATTTCCAGTTGATTCTGATCCATATCTAAATTTGAGGATCACATGTTTCCCTAATCACCCTCCTCACCTTCCTCTGTTACTTCTTTTTAATCTCCATGCTGTTCTTGTGTGTTTTATAAACTGCCATATTTGAGAAATGTCTACACATTTGTTTTTGCAGATATTTTCTGTTGAATTCTCCCATTTTTTCTTTAGTGTTTTTCTTGTCCTAAAATAAAAAAAGTGAGTATTTGCCTTTTTATTATCTTTCAGATCTGGAATCAAAGTATGAAAGTAAGATATTATCTCTAAAGAAGAAACATTTCAGTCAAGTAATATGTACCTATGAAGACATGCCTACTTTTATTCAGTTCACATTTCTTACTCCACAAAATTATTTTATTTTATTTTTTTTTATTAGGATTTGGGTGAAGATTTACAGAGTAAATTCACTTTTCATACAGCAGTTCACATATACTTTGTCTCATGTCATTGACCAAAATTTACAATGCAGCAGCTCCCCTCCCACTTCCTCCCCATAGTTACCTTCTCCCAGTGTCCATCCCTTCATACTCTTCTGCACCCTGAGCTATCTCCCTGTGCATAAGCAGCCCTTCCTTCTCCCATGATCACATCACAAAATTATTAATGAAGAAAAACCCTACAAATATAGGAAATGTGGGAAGGCCTTTAATCAGAAAACACAATTTATTCAACATCAGAGAATGCATTCTTGTGAAAAACTCTATGAATGTAAGGAATGTGGAAAATCCTTTAGTCATGGCTCACTCGTTACTCGACATCAGAGAATTCACACTAATGAAAAACCCTATGAATGCAAGCAATGTGGCAAGGCCTTTAGGTGTAGTTCATACTTTTCTCAACATAAGAGGATTCATACTGGTGAGAAACCTTATGAATGTAAGGAATGTGGAAAAGCCTTTAATTACTGCTCAAACCTTAATGATCATCAGAGAATACATACTGGTGAGAAACCCTATGAATGTAAAGTATGTGGGAAAGCCTTTACTAAGCGTTCACAACTTTTGCCACATCTGAGGACTCATACTGGTGAGAAGCCTTATGAATGTAAGGAATGTGGGAAGGCATTTACTCAACACTCAAGGCTTATTCAGCATCAGAGAATGCATACTGGTGAGAAACCTTGTGAATGTAAGGAATGTGGGAAGGCCTTTAGTAGTGCCTCAACACTTACTAATCATCACAGAATTCATGTTGGTGAGAAACTATATAAATGTAAAGAATGCAGAAAGGCCTTTATTCAGAGCTCAGAACTTATTCAACATCAGAGAATCCATACAGATGAAAAACCATATGAATGTTCTGAATGTGGGAAGGCTTTTAATAAAGGCTCAAACCTTACTAGACATCAGAGAATTCACACTGGTGAGAAACCCTATGACTGTAAGGAATGTGGAAAGGCCTTTGGTAGTCGCTCAGACCTTATTCGCCATGAGGGAATTCATACTGAATGAAGGATAGGAAATAAGACCTTTTTTATTAACATTTATGATAATGTTTTTAAAAACAGATAATGCATAATTGAAGGTTCCCCTACTAACACTACTTTTTCTAATGTATTTATAATTTTCTTTTATAAATAAGTTGTTAATCATTCAAATTTATTTTGTGAATTCAGTGTTTAAATTAAGCTCCCTCCCATGCTTCATAAAAAAATTGTACCATGGATCTACTTATACAGTAATTCCTTCCTTTCCCAATATTTTGTTGGCCTTTTTGGTAATATATTTGTGTTTATATTAGCTTATGTTTTAGGGTAGTTTTGTCTGTTCTTAGGAGATCTGATGGCACAGTTATTAGGCATTTAGCTGCTAACAAAAACGTCTGCAGTTCAAACCTGCCAGCTGCATTATGGGACAAAAATGTGGCAGTCTGCTTCTGTAAAGATTTACAACCTTGGAAACCCTATGGTACAGTTCTGCTCTGCTCTAAAGGATTGCTGTAAGTCGTAATTGACTCAATAGCTAAGGGTTTAGTTTAGTTTGATTTAGTCTATTCTTACAATCTATAGATTTGTGTTTCTACCAATACTGTACTGTAATTGTGTTACATTACATCTCTTAATTCCTGAGAGAATTGTAACTTTGTTTTTGATGATAGCTTTATTATTTTTTTCCTCTTGTGAAATTAATATTTTCTTACTGTAGAAGAAGAAAATATAGAGAAACACAAAGAAAAAATTAACTTCTTTTATCTTAGCAAACAAAGATATAACACTCAAATTGTTATAACTCTTTCCATACTTTTTTCTAAAAAAAAAGTGTAGTCATGGTCTGCATCCTATACAAAAACCTGCTTTTGTCATGCCAAAATGTACCATGTCTACTGTTTCTGTAAGTGTAGACCTTTGTCATTATTTTTAGTATTAGTATTTTTCTGTGGTTGACTATCATTTTGCTGAAATTGCCTAAATTTATGTACCCTCTAAGGTTTTGAAATTACACAAGTTACCCTCTAAATACAACTTGAATGTGTGTTTGTTGGTTTTGGTTTTATTTTTTCAAAATGTTAATTTTCAACAGTTAAAAATTTTCTCCCTATTAAAGCATTATGAATATTTTATCCCTATAAAATATTACCACCATCAACAACCCCAATCCTTTCAACATAATCATTGTTATTAATTTTTCTAGACTTCTTACTATTTTTACTTACACATACACTCATGTTTGTATATGTAAATTTACAAATACTACTTGTAGAAATGTTGGAGCTGTTCTGTAATTTTTTTCACATATAAACACATATCCCTAAAATGTTTGTGTTGTATTGCTGTGAGGATTAAATGAATTAATAAATGTAAAATGGCTTGAACTGTGCCTAACACAGTAAGTACTTATGAATGTTGGCCAATATTAATATAAATATGTTCATCATCATTATTATTTTTGGATAGGACTTTAACCATTTTTCACACCTTAACTGACATCAGAAACCATCAAGTGTGATGCTTGTTAGAAACCTTACCAACCCTTACTCAGTGAATGGAGTCTTTTAAAAAAACAAACAAGAAATAAAAATCAAGAAAGAAAAAGTATGGTTGAATGGCCCTACATTCATGCATCATCAGTTACACTGCACAAAAAGTTCATACCAGTTTACAAGCTGTTCTGGCATTAATATACCACAAATGGGATGGCTTTAACAAACAGGAGGTTATTCTCTTACAGTTCAGGAGGCTAGAAGTCCAAGTTCAAAATGCCAGGCTCTAGGGGCTGGGTGAAAGCCCCCCAGCCTTAGGCTTTAGCTCTGCCTCTAGCTCCCAGCCCACTGAAGCTAGAGGTTTTTCACTCAGACAGCTCCTGGCTGCTGAGGCTGCCAGGCCCCAGGTTGACAAGTAGCAAGGCATAGTCCCAATATTACCAAACCACATGGCAGGCCATTAATTTAAGTCCACTGTAAGTCCCAAAATTGGCAGACCATAGCAACGACATGGCTACATGCAAGGTCCAAGCGTGCCATAGGCTAGAGACCATTCCCAAAGCTGCTGCTTATATATGGGAAGTAGACCATATACCCAAAGACAGCTATTCAGCCGCTTGTGGTAGATCCCACCATGGAGTTGACTGCCAGTCTCGTCATGAGGAATAACTACCACCAGCTGCCCAGCCACTCAACCAGGTCCAGCCAAGTGGACAAACAAACATAACTACCACACAACCTATTTACATAAGGTGAGTAGTTAAAAAGCAGTTATCCATAAAAGAAACAACATTATAAATATTGTTTTAAATGGCATTAAATTTTGCTCAACGATTCTCCCCTCAGCATCCCCACAAAAAAAAAAAAGAAATATATGTAGGTGACATTTTGTTTTTTCTTTTTCTTTTTTACTTTTGTTGGAGTGAAAACATAACACAGCAAGACATTCGCCAGCATAACATTTTCCACATTTACAGCTCAGGGACATTGATGAAGTTTTTCATGTCGTGCCACCATAATTGCTATACTTTTCCAAAATATTCTACCACCATTAGCATGAAATCAGTGCCCCCCAAATAAAAGCATCCCTTTTCCCCCACCCTTCTACCCTTGGTAACCACTAATCATCTATATATATATATATATATATATATATATATATATATATATATATATATACATATACTTTTTTCTTTCTATATCTGTATCTATCTATCTATCTATTCTTTTTAACTTATCTAGAAATTTTCCCTCCCCTCCTCTACCATACCTGGTAACCAACAAAGAAAGTTTTCTTCTATCTATAAACCTTTCCTTGGCTTTTTACAATAGTAGACTAATGCAATATTTGCCCTCCTGTGATTGACTTATTTCACTCAGCTTAATCTCCAAGTTCATCTTTGTTATGTGGTGTTTTGTAGATTCTACATTATTCATAAGGGTTGCATAGTATTCCATTGTGTATACGTACCAGAGTTTGTTTATCCATTCCTTGCTTGCTATTTCTATCTCTTTGCTATTGTGAATAGTGCTGTGATAACAATGGGTGGGCATATATCTATTTGTGTCCTGCCATGCACTTCTTTCGGATACATACCTAGTAATGGGATCGCTGGATCAAATGTTATTTCTATTTCCAACGTTTTAAGGAATCACCATTTTGATCTCCACAGTGTTTGTATCATTTTATAGTCCCACCAACAGTGTATAAGAATTCCAGTCTGTCCGCCTCCTCACCAGGATTTATTCTTTTCTGTGTTGTTGAAATTTGCTGTTAATGCTGGGGTGAGATGATATCTCATAGTTATTTTTATGTGCATCTCTGTAATGGCTAATGATCATGAACATTTCTTCATGTGTTTGTTAGCTGCCTGAATATCTTCTTTGGTGAAGTGTGTTCATGTCTTCTGCCCATATTTTAATTGGATTGTTTGTCTTTTTAATGTTGAGATGTTGAGTGTTCTATAAATACTAGCGATAACTCCTTTTTCTGATATCTCATTGCTGAATATTCTGTAGGTTCTCTTATTACTCTCTTGGAAAAGTCTTTTATTGCACATAAGTTTGGTTTTTCCATGTTTTTAAAGAATGTTGGTGGACTCTGGATTGAGATTGCACTGAATGTATAGATTGCTTTGAGTAGTACTGACATTTTCACAATGTTCAATCTTCCTATCCATGAGCATGGTATGTTCTTCCATTTATGTAGCTCTCTTATGGTTTCTTGAAGTGTTTAGTACTTTTCTTTGTATAGGTCTTTTGTGTCCCTGGTAAGATTTTTCTCCCAAGTATTTTATCTTTTGGTAGCTATTGTAAATACTATTGATTTCCTTATTTCCTGTTCAGAGACTTCTTTGCTGATGTAGAGGAATCCAACTGATTTTTGTATGTTGATCTTGCACCCTACCACTGTGCTAAATTTTTCAATAAGTTCAGTAGTTCTCTTGTTGAGTCTCTTCAGTTTTCTATGTATAGGATTATGTCATCTGCAAACAGGGGTAGTTTTCCTTCTTCCTTACCAATCTGGATGCCTTTGGTTTCCCTTTCCTGCCTTACTGCCCTGGCTAGCAATACCAATACAGTGTTGACTAGAAGTGGAGACAGAGGGCATCCTTGTCTTGTTCCTGTCTACAAGGGGAATAGTTTCAGTCTCTCTCCATTGAGAATAATGCTGGCTGTTGGTTTCACATTTTGTTGTTGTTAGGTGCCAATGAGTCATCTCAGACTCATAGTGACCCTGTGCACAGCAGAACGAACCACTGCTCAGTCCAGTGCCAAGGTTCGTTCTACTCTGATAGTGCAGCCCTTTCCCAGTCATATTTTGAGGGTCTTCTGACCTAAGGGGCTCATCTTCCTGCACTCTATCTGACAATGTTTCCGGGCTATTCATAAAATTGCGCAGTAGTGTATAAGTGCTTCTCTGCTGTTCATAAGGTTTTCTGCTTTAAGAAGTGGATGGCATCTTCCTCCTTCCTAGTTTATCTCAGTCTGTAAGCTGCATTGAAACCTGTGCACCACGTGCAACCCTGCTGGCATTTGAAACACCGATGGCACAGCCTCAAGCTTCACATGCAAGCCACCACAGTATGACAGTCTGACATACAAGTTTGTGTGTCTTAGCTGTTTGAAACCTCTCTGCTCTCCCTTTACCTGGATTCTGCTGCTTTGTCATCCCCAGCCTTTCCCCTCTTCCTGCCTCTTGGGGTGCAGCCTGTGTCCCTCCCCTTACCTGGATCTTGCTGCTCTGTCTGTTGTTCCAGGCTTTACCTCACTTCCTGCCTTTTGTGGTGGGGCCTGTGTCTCTCCCTTACCTGGATCCTGCTGTATATATTGGTTTCACATATATGCCCTTAATTATTTTGAGGAATTTCCCTTCTATTCCTATTCTTAGAGGTTTTTTGTTTGTTTGTTTGTTTGTTTTAAATCAGGAAAGGGTGTTGGATTTTATCAAATGCCTTTTCTGCATCTATTGATATGATCATGTGGTTCTTTTCATTATTTTACTTATGGATTACTTTTTTTTTTTCTAATG